ATTAGGCCTTCAGCTCACTTATTAACATTACTTTGCACGTCCTCCTTCTCACTATCCCTGTAGTTAGTTACTTCTAATCTGCTTAGGGAATCAGCTAAGTAAGCTTGTTAAATTTGTTTCCAAAGGGTAAGTAAAAAGACAGGTAGAACTCCTAAAATTCAGTTTAAAAAGCCCTGCATTGGCTGCTTGGTATGCCCTTTCCTCCTTCCCTTCTTTTTTTTTTTTTTTTGAGACGGAGTCTCATTTTGTCACCCAGGCTGGAGTGCAGTGGTGCTGTCTTGACTCACTGCAACCTCTGCCTCCTGGGTTCACGCCATTCTCCTCCCTCAGCTTCCCGAGTAGCTGAGGCTACAGGCACCCGCCAACACGCTCAGCTAATTTTTTGTATTTTTAGTAGAGACGGGGCTTCACCGTGTTAGCCAGGATGGTCTCGATCTCCTGACCTCGTGATCCGCCCGCCTCAGCCTCCCAAAGTGCTGGGATTACAGGCGTGAGCCACCGCGCCCGGCGTCATCCTTCCCTTCTTTGGGAGACATTTCATACAGGTGTTGGTGATGAAGGGTGTGCCTTCTCGGTAAGGTTTGTGATACACTGTTGTGTGACATCTTCAGGCAGTTTAGACAAGTTATAATCAACTTTGAAAAATATATGCTCTTTGAGGACCGAAAGGAACTGCTTCCATTTTCTTCATGCCTTCCCTGTGCCTTATTTCCCGTATTGTTTTGTGTGTGTCATCTAGTACGGCAACATATATCCTAATTATGGTTCCTCTGGCCCCCAGGTTATTGGCCTATTACATGAGAATATAAAAAGAATGAAAGCTAAATATTTTTGCTTTAAACAGTCAGTCATCTTCTATAGAAATGGTAGTGTGAAAGAATTAAAACAGGAGAATAAATAATAAAATATGAGAAGAAGGTCTTATATTCACATATTTACCATATCTACTGCTCTTTATTTCTTTACGTAAATCCAAGTTTCCAACTGGTATCATTTTTTCTTTTGCCTGAAGATCTTCCTGTTACATTTCTTGAAGTGCAGGTCTGCTGATGACAATTTCTGTTTGAGTTTTTATTTTGCCTTTATTCTTAACAGATGTTTTCACTGGATATAGAATTCTAGGTTACTTCTAGGTGAATACCATTTTCAAGCTGTCATTTCCATTGTGTTCTGGCTGGCAGGGTTTCTGATGAATTCTGCTGCTGCTGTTATGTTTGTTGTTCTGTGTACTATGTCTCTTCCCCTGGCTGCTCTTGTCTGGGCCTAACAGTTTGATTATGGTGTGCCTCAGTATGCTTTTCTGTGTGTGTGTCTTGCTTGGGGCATGCAGCTTCTTGGATCTGTAGGTTTATAGTTTCTATCAAATTTGGAAGTATTCTGGCCATCATTTCTTAATCTTTTTCTGTCCTTCCCCTTCTTCCCCTTGTCCTTCGGGCCTGCAGTGTTGTGTGTGTTAGACTGCTGGATATTATCCTTCAGGTCTCTGAGACTCTATTCCTTTTATTTATTTTTTCAGCCTATTTTGTTTCTGTGCTTCTGTGCTTATTTTGGATAAATTCTGTTGCTATATGTTTAAGTTCCCTGATTTTTTTCTTTACTTCTGCAATGTCTAGCCTGCACTTAATCTCAATCAGTGAAATTTTCATTTCAGATAATTATGTTTTCTTAAAATCTGTAAGTTCCACTGGATTCTTAAAAAAACTTCCTTTTTTCTTATGAATATCTACGTATTCTTTTAATATTGAACATAGTTATAATAGAAGTTTAATGTCTTATCTCATCATTTCTCAGAAGTTTACTATTTTCTGATTTTTTTGCCCCTCCTGATTATGGGCCACATTTTCCTCCTTGTCATGTTTAGGAAATTTTTTTTTTAAGGCTTCTCTGTACATAGTGAAGGAATTTTATATTAGATGTTGTGTATTGTGAATGTTACCTTGTTGAGTGTCTGTGTCTTGTTTTATTTCTTTTAGGAATATCACACTTTGTTTTGGCAAAGCAGATAAGTTACTTGCAGGTCTTTCTAATGCCCTGTAGGCCTGCTTTTAAGCTCTGATAGGGCAGATTTCATTTAACTTTCACTCCAGACATACTTCAACCTCACTAAGACCTGACCTCTCTGGGGGTCTCCATGGAATGCCTTGGGTGGGTCACCAAGAACATTCCACTTTGGCTGGTTGGAGCTTCCCTACTTGTGTAAACTCTAAGAGTTGTTCATTTCACACCTTCTTGGTCATTTTCTGCCTTGCTTCGTGGAAGTTCACTCACACGTGAGGCCTAGAACTTAGCACATTTCTGTAGCCCTCTTTCTGTGTAGCTTCCTGTAATTTCTAGCACCCTCAACCTCTCTGAACTCTGTTCTTTATTGTCTGCAGTATCTAATCTGCAGGGCTACTAAGTTTAATTTGAGGTCCCCTTCCCTGTACTTGGTGACCTGGAAATTATTAACACCTCCAGGCAGAAAGTTGGGGTGATTGTATAGCTTACCTTGTTTGTTTCTTTTCTTGCAGGGAGAAACAAATAAATCTATATCTTTATGCAAATTAGCTGAGCAGCCAAGTTCTGCACTGCCTGGTATCCAGTGCCTGCACGTAGTTCTTTCAGATATACTGTCAGGTTTTCTAGCTATTTATTGCAGGAGGTTAAGTCTGGTCCACACCTAGTCTATCACTGATGAAAGCAAAAAATTTCAGGAATTCCATTGAAATTGGTCCATTGAAAATAATTCTTGGCAACTGAGTATTGTTCTAAATGACATGCCTGCATGTGTTAGAAGACTGAATTAAACATAATTTACATGAATTTGTGAGTGAAGCATGATAGTGTCCTCATGTCTCCCATTTATTTTTTACCTGTCCCACAGACTAGAACTGTTCCTACTCAGCAGAATGATTATGGTTTAAGGTAGTAGAATAATGACATCTGTTCAGATGTTCTTAGAGCTCCCCAGAGGACAGATAGGCTGAGTGAGATCTGTCCTTGTCACCGCTAATGCTGACAGTACTCAGTGGGTGACTTCTCCTTTGGGTTGTTCTTATTCTTTACATTAGACTTAAATTTTCATTTTGGGAAGGCCATTATGAACCACTTTCTGAATCCACGGGAAGTCTATGCTAATAGCACTGTGCATGTGAATCAATAAAAAATGGATGTATGGGTTGAAAGAACCATCTTGAAACAGCATGGCATAACAAGACAATCTGGGGGATTTAAAGGCACAGTGAAAGGAGCTAATTTGCATAAAGACATGGATTTGTGAGGATGTCTTTCTCTCCTCCTCCCCCTACCCTGTGTTGAGTAAACTGAGCCATGTAATTTGGAGTGCATTGTTGTTGAGTTTCAGGGAGCACTGGGGTCTTGAGTAGACACAAGACTTCGCTGTTGATAATTTAGCTTAAGAAGCGACTAGATCAAGGAAAACAGGAATTCTGTATATTTTTTGGATCACAATGATTTATTTCAAACTTATTGGTAAAGAACTAATGCCCCTTTGAGAAATCATGAATATTGCCAGCTACAGATGTTGATTTTTGTTCTATTTAAATTACTCTTAAGTTCTTTGTTTAGCCTCCTAAATGACTCACTCTTATACTTGATGCATAAACTTTAATTTTGCATCATTGAAGTGTTGTTATAAATTTGTTGATTTTTAAGAATCCAAAGATGTTTCTTTTTTCTTGAGACAGGGTCTTGCTGTGTCACTCAGGCTGGAATGTAGTGGAATGACCCTGGCTCACTGCAGCTTCAGGCTCCTGGGCTCAAGTGGTGCTCCTGCCTCAGCCTTCTGAGTGTCTGGGACTACAGGCACATGCCACCATATCTGACATATTTTTTTATTCTTAAGAGACAGGACCTTGCTATGTTGCCCAGGCTGGTCTTGAACTCCTGGCCTTGAGCAGTTCTCCCATTTTGGCCTCCCAAAGTGGTAGGACTACAGCTGTGTTTTTTTTTTGGTTTTTTTGTTTTTTTTTAATTTTAAATGCAACTTGAGGAGTATTGATTGAATCCACTGCTGTTTAAAAAATTTAAAAGTTAATGAGCTTATGAAAAAAATGTTCATCTTCACTAAAAAAGAAATGCAACATAGAAGATGAAGTCTTTTTTTCACCTGTCAGATTGATTAAAGTTTAAAAATGGTAATATTAAATGTTGGCAGTGGTGTGGAAGGATGAGTACTTCTTTGAACTTCTAGGGGAAATGTACATTTATATGACCTCTCTGATAATTTTGGCACTATACATCAAGAACTTTTACATTCTTTGACCCACTGTTGTTGCTTCTAGGGTTTTCATTCCTAAAACGATTGGAAATTCAAACAAACAAAAAATGTAGGAAGGCATTTGCAATATTGCATTTCTAATGGTGAGGAATTAGAAACACCCTAAATGTCTAACCATAAGAATGTTTCACTTGTGCCATTTTCCAATTACAAAGTACCATACAATTATTAAAATGGTGGTTCTGAAAAATATTTCATCACAGAGGAAACATTTACATATTTGAAGTAAGCACTATTCCAATATGATACATACTCTCATCTCAGCTGCTACTTTAAAATACCCAAGTGACCAAGTACAGTGGCTCATGCCTGTAATCCCAGCACTTTGAGAGGCCAAGGTGGGAGGATTGAGTGACAGTGAGACCCTTTATCTTAAAAAAATAAAAAAGCATGGATGGTCAGAAATGTTCCAGAATGTGAAAATAACTGTTTCTAGGTGGTGGTTTTATGAGAGATTGTTTTCTTCTTTATATTTGTTCTATTTTTCAAAATTTGAGTGCAAAAGTATTCTGGGTATGTGAAAGCAAGTATGATCTTTGTAGCTTCATTCTGGGCTTAACCTAAGGCTTTCCAGACCCTAGAGGGGCACCTCAGACTCCAAAAGAGTATGCAAAAGTATGAAAAAGTGTGTGTGTGTGTGTGTGTGTGTGTGTGTGTGTGTGTGTATATATATATAGTTTTTGTTTTTTAAAAAACATTGGTTTCTGTGCTTACTGTTCAGATAAAAATTTCGATGATGAAGATTCTGTGGATGGTAACAGACCTTCCTCTGCTAGTTCTACGTCATCCAAGGCTCCACCGAGTTCTCGGAGAAACGTTGGAATGGGAACCACCCGCCGGCTTGGTTCATCCACCCTGGGATCCAAGTCTTCAGGTTAGTCTAAGCTCTGTGTGGCGTTCTAGGGTCAGCTATGCCAGCTTTTCAAACCAGAGATGCAAGTACTTGCCTGTGGTGGCCCTCAGAAGTGATACAGTCCCCGTATGCAGCAGGTTTCTGCCTGCTATTCTTTAATTGAATTAGCATTGCAGTACTGGTGCTGATTAGCTGGTAAGTTGTAAATTTGAGCTACTGTGTTGACTTTTGCCACATTCTGCTAAGGCGGAGCCTATAGAAGAAGGAAACTAGCACAGAGGAAAGCATAGCTCCGAGATAAAAGCAAGAGCGCACCCTCATCGCATTGTTTAGTTATCTGGATCCAGCAATGCCTGAAACCACTAGGGGCGTTTTAGACAATTTCTGTTTAACAAGACTGAGAATAATCCAGAAGTCACACTGTAACTCCTGTCTTTAAAATACATCTTGTGGACTGGCCCCTAGGTATTGGGGCGTGTGTGCATGCTCCGCATGCAGGTCGGGCTGTGGGTGGTGGAGACAGCCACCTCTGCTCCAGTTCCCGGTGAGCCATGGTGAGGTGGCAGCTGTTGGTGTGTCTGTTGGATGGTAGCGTGAAGTGGAGCTGGGCCAGCGGGAGGTAGCTCTGTGGGAGTGGAAGGCCCGTGTCTCTCTACCTGGACTGCAGGCTCTTCATGCAGGGAGGGCAGAGCTCAAGACCTCAAAGACAATCTGTAGAAAGCTGGGTAGCAGCAGCTCCACAGAAGAGTGACCAGACTGTTGAAAGAAAAACAAACAGAAAACGGCAACCACAAAAAACCCCATCCAATGGACCACAACCTCAAAGATCAAAGGTAGATAAGCCCACAAAGATGAGAAAGAATCAACACAAAAGCGCTGAAACATCTTTTCCTTCAGATAACCGCAACCCCTCTCTAGCAAGGGCTCAGAACTAGGCTGAGGCTGAGATGGCTGAAATGACAGAAGTAGGCCTCAGAATGTGGATAATAATGAACTTCACTGAGCTAAAGGAGCACGGGGTTGGGGTTAGGGTTAGGGTATTCACATAGGAAGAGAGGAAGTCAAACTATCTTTATTTGCAGATGACATGATCCTATATCTGGAAAACCCCATTGTCTCAGCCCAAATCTTCTTAAGCTGATAAGCAACTTCAGCAAAGTCTCAGGTTACAAAATCAATGTGCAAATATCGCTAGCATTCCTATACATCAACACCAGGCAAGCAGAGAGCCAAATCGTGAATGAATTCCCATTCACAATTGCCACGAAAAGAATAAAATACCTAGGAATATAGCTAACAAGGGAAGTGAAGGACTTCCTCACGGAGCACTACAAAACACTGCTCAAAGAAATCAGAGACGATACAACAAATGGAAAAACAGTCCGTGCTCATGGATAGGAAGAATTAATATTATGAAAATGGCCATACTGCCCAAAGCAATTTATAGATTCAAGCTATTCCCATTAAACTAACATTGACATTCTTCACAGAATTAGAAGAAACTATCTTGAAATCCATATGGAACCAAATAAGAGCTCATATAGCCAAGACAATCCTAAGCAAAAAGAACAAAGCTGGAGGCATCACATTATCCAACTTTATACTGTAAGGCTACCCCTAACCAAAACAGTGTGGTACTGGTACAAGAACAGACACACAGACCAATGGAATAGAATAGAGAACCCAGAAATAAAGACCTCACGACTATAACCATCTGATCTTCAACAAACCTGATAAAAACAAGCAATGGGGAAAGAATTCCCTGTTTAATAAATGGTGCTGGGAGAACTGGGTATCCGTATGCAGAAAATTGAAACTGGACCTCCTCCTTACACGCTATACAAAAATCAACTCAAGATGGATGAAAGAGTTAAAATTTAACTCAAACTGTAAAACCCTAGAAGAAAATCTAGGCAATACCATTTAGGACATAGGCATGAGCAAAGATTTCATGACAAAGACGCCAAAAGCAATTGCAATGAAAGCAAAATTTGACAAATGGACCTAATTTAACTAAAGAGCTTCTGCACAGCAAAATAAACTATCAGAGCAAACACACAACCTACAGAATAGGAGAAAATTTTTGCAATCTATCCATCTGACAAAGGCCTAACATTCAGAATCTACAAGGAACTTAAATTTACAAGAAAAAACAACCCCATTAAAAAGTGGGCAAAGAAAATGATCAGACACTTAGGAAAAGAAGATGAACATGCGGCCAGCAAATGCATGAAAGAAAGCTCGACATCACTGATTATTAGAGAAATGCAAATCACAATGAGATACCATCTCACACCAGTCAGAATGGCTATTATTAAAAAGTCAGAAAAACAGTAGATGCTGGCGAGGTTGTGGAGAAAAAGGAGTGCTTTTACCCTGTTGGTGGGAGTGTAAATTAGTTCAACCACTGTGGAAGAGACTGTGTCAGTTCCTCAAAGACCTAGAGGCAGAAATACCATTTGACCCAATAGTCCCATTACTAGGTATATATCCAAAGGAATGTAAATCATTCTGTTACAAAGATACATGTGTGCGTATGTTCATCCCAGCACTATTCACAATAGCAAAGACCTGGAGTCAACCTAAATGCGCATTAAGACTGGGTAAAGAAAATGTTGTACATATATACCATGGAATACTATGCATTCATAAAAAGGAACAAGATCATGTCCTTTGCAGGGACATGGATGGAGGTGGAAGCTGTTATCCTCAGCAGTTTAACGCAGGAACAGAAAACCAAATACTGCATGTTGTCACTTATAAGTGGGAGCTGAATGATGGGAACACATGGACACCTGGGTGGGGAAAACACACACTGGGACCTGTTGCAGGGTTTGGGGTGGGAGGAGGGAGAACATCAGGAAGAATAGCTAATGTGCTGGTCTTAATACCTAGTGATGGGGTGATCTGTGCAGCAAACCACCATGGCACACATTTACCTATGTAACAAACCTGCACATCCTACACATGTACCCCTGAACTTAAAAGTTGGGAATAAAAATAAATAAGATAAAATACATTTTGTTCTTACAAGTAACGTGGTTCCTTGTGAGACCAGTAAGGATGTTGCATTAAATAAATTGTAGGAGATTTCTCCCATAAATTCTTCCTTTCACTCCTAATGTAGACAGTTTAGTTGTTATATACAACTCTCATCTTCTGTCAAGTTTCACATTTACATGCAAATTCCTTCTGAAATTTACCTCAGAAAAATTGTGTAGCTGCTGCTTTTAGAACCATTTTCACTGATGGCCTTAGCTTTTGAGCTGTTGGTGGTGGTGGGGATAGTGGTGGATGGGGAATCCCATGAGCCAAAAAAGATGAAGCCAAAAGGACCAAATAAAAGCTATACTCGTGATTAGCATTAAAATGCTGTCTCCTGATGGCCTCTCCTGAATTCTGAACTGGCCCTAGAATATTGGTATCTTGACCAGACCAGCATGGGACCACTCTGCCTCCTGACCCCAGCATCTGTGATAGAGGAGCTGTAGGAATGTTAATTGTACTTATTTCCAGTTCTTTCTAATCATTTTTTTGGTGTATTTTAAAACATTTTACTTTTTGTTACTGATTTTAAATTCACATAACATAAAATTAGCCATTTTAAAGGGAATGTTTTCAGTGTTTCATCTACCTTGTAGCATATATCAATACTTTGTTCCTTTTAATGCCTGAACAATCTTTCTTTTTACTTGATCTATTATTGGGTAATTATCTGTTGCACAAACAAGGCTTAGAAAATTACTAGACTGGTGCTTTCCTTCCCATCCCACATCCATACCCTTTCCAGAAGTCCCTGCTGTGTGGATTATGCACATATCAGCTCGGTTTTCCCCTTCAGCCCTGCACTTATCCTTTTTTCCATGTTGTTTAAAACCATAGTCATGAATTTCCTGGTTTGCTCCTCCTCATCAGATACCCTAGGCTCAGGGGCTGTTGTTGGCCTCTGAGTCCTCTTTGGTATGTGTGGGTACATGGTGTAGGGCCTCATGCAAAGGAGGCATTCAGGGCCTATCTGCTCAATGGGATCCAGTTTTTATGCTGAAACAGACACAGAGCACCACATCACAGTGAGTAACTATTGGCCTTTAGAGTAGTTAGCTTTTCCACGGTGTGAGTGATCTTCAGCAAGAGTGATGACACACATTTACTGCTACCTGGGATTGCCTTTAAAGCTCCTTTCTGTCTGGATAATTATCAGGACCCCGAACACCAGATACATGTGTGGTAAGAAAGTCTTAGAAAAGCAATCAGACTAATCCATGTAAATCATTAATGGGGGTTATGAAGATGACTATAGACACCAGTTTTTAAAATGTGAAAAAATCTGATAAAGCATCACTTGATTTTCATGCATAAAAGGGAGCTCAGATTAGCAAAAAGAAATACTTTCTTCACATACTTTTAAGTATACAAAGCATCTTAGGATAACTTTGTAGGAGAAACTTGTAACTGATTCTTAAATGAAAAAAAATGATAGTTATCATGAGTTCAAGGAAATAGAAATGTTTTCAAACTAATATAAAGTTAAATAAAACTGAAATTATTTAGGACTGGTTTGAATAGTGACAAATTTGTAATGCTGAATTCCTAGTAATTACAGTTTAAGTTACTCCCTGAAGAATTAAATTTTCTGCTTGATCCATTTATTAGGAATCTTTCAAAAGACTTGTGTATTAATACAATATCTAAACCCTTTAAAACCATACCCTCCCTGCTTAAACAGGTAGTCTAAGTGACCTTAAGCTAATGTATATAGCATTGTAGAATTACTGTATTTCATCTTGAGGTGAAGTCAGTAATGTTTGTCAATTTCATGACACTCCAAAGTTATATGAAGCCTTTCTAAAAAATAGTTCTGAATCTTCCAAAACAGAATTTTGATTGTGTATGTTTAGACTTCTTCAGTGTATGTGTTATATACATTGTTTCATATTTTTTGAAATTCTTTTTTACAGCTGCAAAAGAAGGAGCTGGTGCTGTGGACGAAGAGGATTTTATTAAAGCATTTGATGATGTACCTGTAGTCCAGGTCAGTGAGGATATTTGAGTGTGATTACAAACAAGGGTAGACTTTTTCTTCACATTTTATTTTTCAAGTATGCCTGTGTAATGTTCTTTACTAGGTCAGGTAATTTTAACTGTCAACACTACAGGAGATCTGAGGTGCAGACTAGAAAATGTTGGAGCAAAAGTCAAGGCCCAAGATGATCTTTCAGTAAGAACAGGAAAGACATTGGTTGCTCTATTATTAAGTTTATGGATCAGGTCACATAAAAGAGTAAGAAATAGGTGATGCTCAATTAGAAAATAAAAAAGGCATATTTATTTAGGGATTTTTTTTAGAAAACTTCATAACTTTGAAGGATTTTGGTGTCTGAAAAGTTACAGAGAATGATTTAATAAGAGCTTAGTTTATACCTTCTTTGATGCTTCACTTTAAATACCTAACAGATGAAACAAAGATTATTTATAAAAATTGGGATACAGCCGCAAGTTTTTGACTGCTTTGTGCCTTAGTATCATCTATTGCTGGTTGAGACTAATACTTTTCCTCAGCCTACACCGGCTGTCTGTGCCCTGGATTCCTGTGGCACTTACTAGTCTGTTGTGTACAACTCTCTTTGCCACCTTCGTTGCCGTATGTGTATAAAGCAGGTAACAAGAATCTCGGTGGCCTGGGCAACATGACGAAACCTCATCTGTACAAAAGATACAAAAATCATCTGTGGTGGCAGATGCCTGTAGTTCTAGCTGCTCAGGAGAGTGAGCTGGGAGGCTCCCTTGAACCCGGGAGGTGGAGTTTGTCGTGAGCTGAGATTGCGCCACTGTACTCCATCCTGGGCGACAGAGTGAGACCCAGTCTCTTAAAAAAAACAAAACAAAAAAACAATCTCGGGTTCAGGTTCATCCTTAAGTGCTTGACCTGACCTTCCCAGCATACATCAAGATTGATTATACCCTATACCCTACCTGTTTTCTAAGTAAGATGTGGAGATAAATGAGAATGTAGATTTGAAAGTCTTTAAAATTGTAGGTATAGTGTCATGTTATAAATAATACTAAGAGTAAGAAATGACTTAGGCATCACTGACTGTTTCCCGTTAGGCTTGTTTCTCTTTGTACATGAAATCATCTGTTAAGTTTATAGTAAAGCTACGTTTGAGGCAGGGTTATTCACATATGGCAGCAAATCTTGTGTGTACACATTTATAGTGAGAAAGATCCTCATTATAGACAAAACTCTGCAGATATTTTCTCATAGGTGTTTCTTAAAAATTAAATAATTTCTTTTACTAAATGGTCTTGACTTCATGTAATTAAGAAGTAATCTGTTTATTCTGCATGTTTTTATATTGATTGTAAATTAATTTTGCTTACAGATTTATTCCAGCCGAGACCTTGAGGAATCCATAAACAAAATTAGGGAAATACTATCTGATGACAAGCATGATTGGGAACAGAGAGTAAATGCTGTAAGCTGTTGACTTCATGTGATTACCTTTTCATAAGATGTATTTAAGTATCTCATACTTTATTATGAAATCAGGGCACAACTCTAATGAATTTTAAATAATATATATTTTAAATACAAATTATTGTATGTACACTTCACCCTTTTAGTAGAGTATCTCCTTTTATTTTTATTTTTGAAACACACCAACTTAAACCTTTATGAATCATCTAGTCTTTTAACAAAGACCTAACTGTGGAGTGTATGGTGACAGCCTCCACTGTCACCTTAGCAGAAATTTCATTCTGTGATTGTTTGCCTTTAAAGTGGCTTTTTTGTGGCGGTTTTAGTATATGTCCCCCAATATTCTTTTCTTTCTTCATATCACTTGCTAGAAAGTTGTGTCTCCTTTATTTTTAAAAGTAGATTAATGGAAAGTGGTCTGGGCGTTAAAGCGAGGGTGTGTCTGATCTGAGAAGGCTATTTTCTACTGGTTGGCTGGCAAGAAGGGAGGTGGTACCATTGCCATTATATTGTATTTTAAATCAGACCAGCCAGTTAATGGTTCGGTGGAGGATAATGGTTCAGGTAGGAATGCTGCTTCCTTTGGTTCATTAAATAAATGGCAGTTGAAGTGGGGTGTGAGGGGAGGTAAGCTTAGGAGGGGCTTTTCACAAGCCAAAAGTTTTTAATTATTTATCGTTAGTGTTGTAGGATCTATAAATACTTTAAGATATTTCAAATGTAAAACTGTTTTTGCAGAAATTACAATATATGTGTCACAAATACTCCAGTTAAAAATTATTTAGTCTTATTTGTGATATGTAGATTTGTTTATTGTATTAGCTAATACAATACTGGCTGAATTCTCTTGGGAATGCTTTCTAATCAGTTGAACTTTAACAATTATCTCTTTTGTAGTTGATGGCTTCTGTTTTGTATATTCTGTGTTAGAATTGTTTTCTGTTTTTCTGAATTTTCTCTATTCCATTAGCTAAAAAAGATTAGATCTTTACTTTTGGCTGGTGCCGCTGAGTATGATAACTTCTTTCAACATTTGCGTCTTTTGGATGGAGCCTTTAAACTCTCTGCTAAGGATCTGCGGTCTCAGGTAGTGCGGGAGGCTTGTATCACATTGGGGTAAGGACTGCGACGCTCCATATTCTCACCATAAAATAGTGTCACCACAGAGCTTCAGAGATGTCTCCTTGAACTTGTGAGCTGGGTCTCTTTAATGTAACTTCCGACTAGTCTTCAAGACCCATTCCAGTTAACACTTCTGTCAGTGGTTTTACAATACTTTTTGCTCAATTATGTGAAGTGTGACAGATTTTAAATTTTATTTTATTCAGTGATAGAGCTCTGAAGCCTTTATTTCAAACTTTGAAGCAGTTATTAATATGGAAAGATGAAATTCTATGAAATCCTGTTTCTCTCATTTTTCATTGATTTTTGCTGGCAGGCAATAGTGTGGTTATCAGAATGTTTGTTCCTAGAAGAGTACTGTAGTCATAAAGTTAAAGGCATTTACTGCAGTAAAATTTTATTCTAGCTATATGTGTACTAGTAATCAAAGCTAATAAAACTTTGTGTTAGAATGTATCTCAGAATATCAAAGCAGCAGCAGCAAGAGGAGGCATCACAGCTGTTTAAAGTTTTGGCTGCAGTCAGATTTTGAAGCCTGAATATTTTATGTTAAGATAAAAGAAAAAATATGAAAAAGGAGCCAAGGGTGCTTTTTCATATTTGTGTTTTATTAATATATCGTCAGTTTGTTTGGTATTTTCAGACTAGTTGGGGCAGGTGGGCTGGTATCTGCCTGGAGTCCCTTCTACTTGGAAAGCCAAAGTGGGAGGATTGCTTGAGCCCAGGAGTTCAAGTTCAACGCGGGCAACATAGTGAGATCCTGCCTCTAGAAAACAAAAAGCTCCACAAAGACTAGTTGGAAGTTAAAAAAAAAAAAACAAAAAAACAAAAAACCACTTTTGGGCTAAGAACTATTTGCCAAGTTCTCAACATGCACATCGGAAATCTTAGACCCTTGTCCTTTCTAGATAACTTTAAATGAAGGCTCTAGATGTTAAATGGTTTATGTGCTTCACTGTTTCTAAGAAAAACAACTACAGTCCAGTATCCATTTCTTGTTTTAGGCATCTGTCATCAGTTCTGGGGAATAAGTTTGACCATGGAGCCGAAGCCATTATGCCAACTATCTTTAATTTAATTCCAAACAGTGCCAAAATTATGGCCACGTCTGGTGTTGTAGCTGTTAGGTTAATTATTCGGGTAAGTATGTTATAGGCCATACATGAAATAAGCAAGTGGTAAATACCGATGGTTGATAAATATTAGAGGCATTTTTGTTAACATAATTATATTGAGTAATTAAATTTATTAGCATAATTATATTGGAATTATATATATATATATATATATCATCTTTTCCCCCTACTTAATTGTGGCATATGAGCTTTTTATAATCCATAATGTGAATTATGGATGTGTTATAAAGTTAATGAGGTATTGATTGTTAGCTCACTATTGGTTTAAAATATTCAAACATCCGGTGTCTGCTTCTGAGATTATATTGTATTCTTGTTACTTAGATATTACTCTTAGTCTTAACCTCCTTAATCCCAGTCCTTCCATTTTAGGTATTGGTACTTGTGGTTTTGCTGTTCACCCAAAAGTTCAATTAATTGCACATAAGCACAGAAACAAAATATTCTCTTTGGTTAGATTTTCTAGGCACTTATTTGTTCAAATTTAAATAATTATCCAAGTAATTTGTACACAAGTTTTTAACAAAATCTAATAGTTCACAAAGGTTTAAAATGGTTTTCCACGTTACCTCCCCACCACTTTCAAGTCCTTTTTGCCCAGAAGCAGCTCTTGAAGCTTTGAGGCTTGATGATACTGTCTAAAGTCTATCCAGAATATTCTTGATTATTTTGGTTGTTTACTTTGTATTATTAGTTCTTACTGTTCTTACTTGCACTGCCTACTTTAACTGTTAAACCCAAGGTCATTATTGGACATTTCTGTTGAAACAATATCAAAATACATTGGTCTGATGACTTCTTTCAAACCCACTCAGATCTCTACAGCTGAGATAATTTAGACCTCATAGTAATGATTGTTTTAGGCTTACCTTCATGTCATCATGTTGCCTGTTCTTAACTCTGTAAATTTTCTAATGCCTTTTGACAATATCCTGTGAATTATTTTTTTCTTTTAAAACTCACTGACATTCTAATCTGAATGTATATGTGCTATATAAGTAGATTAGTGAGGAAGTGATTCTTTTAATTTTGTTTTACTTTTGTATTTGCAAGTGTTCACCTCTGTTTTTTGTTGTTCTTCACAGCACACACACATCCCTAGGTTAATACCTGTCATAACAAGCAACTGTACCTCTAAGTCTGTCGCTGTTAGAAGGTAAATTTTAAAGGGTTTTCTCATTGTTTTTAAATTGTTTAAAAACCAAAACAAATTCCAAATCTCCTTCCATGGATAAAATTTCATGTTTAAAATGCTTAGTATTACTTAAAATCACTGCAATAAATGATTTTGAGTTGAAGAATCAAGATCTAAATATTTTGGGAAATGAATGTGGACAACCTCTATTATGTTTCTGTGTGTGTGTGTGTGTGTGTGTGTGTGTTTGTGTGTGTGTGTGTCTGTGTGAGAGAGAGTGAGTTTGGGGGCTAGTGGCAGAAGGAGAAGGGGAGAGGACCCCCTGTACACTTTTTTCCTGTGATAATCCTCCTACCTTTGTCATTGGTCTGCCCTATTCCCTGAGTAAAAGCAGTAACTGCATGCAAGAAAAAAATACCATAAACATCAATGGCAGTAGTTTCATATATGAAAGGTATGTGTTGTTTGCATCTTCTGTTTAGCGATTTCTGGGATTCTGAATCTTCACTATTACTTAGTTCTGTGCAGTTGTGGGAGATATATCCAGAAGACGCAGGCAAATACAACCTGGGTAACTAGCTAGGGGTTTGTTCCCAAGTCCCTGTCTTATATGTGCTGGTGAGCTGCCCTAAACTACGTGTGAGGAGTAAAGACTGTGTTATTTTAGCTCAGACCTGTGAAAGAATCCTTCACTCTAAGATTTACAGCCCGGATGACTTTTGCTAGCTGTTTGCCTTTTTCCCTGGGGTGTCATGTTGATCCTGCTGGGTTTCTATGGGTACAAGACCCTCTTAAGCATGCAGCAGCTCTGGATTTGTCGTTTTAAAATTTATTTTATTATTTTTAGCAAATTGGCCACAGACTGCCTTTTTAAAAATTTTCTTTCCTTTCCTTTTCTTCTTTTCCCTTTTGTTCTCTTCCCCCTTTCTTTTTCTTTCCTTTTTCCTTTCCTTCCTTCCTTTCTTGCCTTTCTTCCTTTATTGCTTTCCTTTCTTTTCTTTTCTTTTCTTTTTTTTTGAGACGAAGTCTCGCTCTGTCGCCCAGGCTGGAGTGCAGTGGCCGGATCTCAGCTCACTGCAAGCTCCGCCTCCCGGGTTCACGCCATTCTCCTGCCTCAGCCTCCCGAGTAGCTGGGACTACAGGCGCCCGCCACCTCGCCCGGCTAGTTTTTGTATGTTTTAGTAGAGATGGGGTTTCACCGTGTTAGCCAGGATAGTCTCGATCTCCTGACCTCGTGATCTGCCCGTCTTGGCCTCCCAAAGTGCTGGGATTACAGGCTTGAGCCACCGTGCCCGGCCTCTTTCTTTTCTTTCTTTCACCCAGGCTGGAGTGCAGCACACTGTAACCTCAAGCTCCTGGACTTCCAAGTAGCTGGGACTACAGGCACACCCCACCATGGCCCACTAATCTTTTTTTTTTTTTTTTTTTTTTTTACTGTTTTTAGAGACGGGGGTCTTATTCTGTTGCCCAAGGATGATCTCGAACTCCTGGGCTCAAGCAGTCTTCCCACCTTGATCTCCCAAAGTGCTGGGATTATAGATGTGAGCCACCATGCCCAACCTTTATTTTTTTAATTGGCAAGTAAAAATTGTGAAGACTTATGGTGTACAACATGCTGTGTTGATAATGTGTATACATTTTGGAATGGTTAAATCAAGCTCTTTAACGTGTATCACCTCACATACTTACTTTTTTGTGGTGAGAACACTTGAAATCTACTCTCAGCAGTTTTAAAGTATATAATATGTTGTTACTAACTATAGTCACCATCACTATGAAGTACAATCGATCTCTTGAACTTACTCATATCTGCCTGACATTTTGCATACTTTACATCTCCCCGTCTCTCAACCCCCAGCCTCTAGGAACCACCATTCTACTTTCTGCTTCTGTAAGTCCAACTTTATTTGCTTTAGAGGTGGTGCCTCACTCTGTCACCCAGGCTAGAGTGCAGTGGCACACTCATGGCTCACTGCAATCTCTAATTTCTGGGCTCAAGTGATCCTCCCGCCTCAGTCTCCCAAATAGCTGAGACCATAGGTGTGTGCCATCACGCCCCCAGCTAATTTTTAAATTTTTTATAGAGATAAGGTCTCACCATGTTGCCCAGGCTGGCCTCAACCTCCAAAGTGCTGGGATTGCAGGTGTGAGCCATTGCACCAAGCCTGAGTCGACCTTTTTGGATTCCTCCACACATAAGTGAGATCATGCAGTACTTGTCTTTGTATGCCTGGCTTATTTCTTTTAAGATAATATTTTCCAAGTTTATCTGTGTTGTCTTAAATGACAGGCTTTATTTTGTTGTTGTTGTTAAGACTGAATAGATTCTGTTGTGTATGTATGCTGCATTATCTTTATCTCCTCATCTGTTGATGGATACTTAGGTTGATTCCCTATCTTGGCTATTGTGAATAGTCTTGCAATAATCATGAGAGTTCAGATACCTCTTCAACATACTGACTGCATTTTTTTGCGATATATACCTAGTAGTTGGTTTTAGATCCATCTCATTAATAGCTACATGAAAGACAAAAAGAGAAAAGAGGAATAATCCAGCTATCTAAAATCATGAAAAAAGAAATTTATACCTTCCACTGAAAAAATGTAACTCCATACTGTGTGACTTAAGTGTGTACCCCCAGCGAATGCAATCTACCCTTGACCTAGGGTTCAGCTTCTCCTGGGGTTAGAGTGGAGCAGCTTCAGCTCCCCCTAGAGATGAGAATGTAAAGTCAGCACAGAGGGATGATTGTGAACTTCAGAACCTGACGAGCATCAGTTGAAACATTCCTCTCCCACTTACTCGTCTGACTCGTTAGGTATAAGGGTACTCCTCTATAAGATTTGGAGGATTCAGTCATTAGGTAAAACATTTAGTGAAAGCTTAATTTGTTGCAGCTGTGGCTGTTATTTTCATCTTGCTGCTGTTTTCATTTTGCTAATGTTAGGTTTCCAAGAGAAATTCAGAATGTGTTTTTCCTTGTGTAAGGCAAAATTTCTCCAATAAGATGACACAGATCTTTGTTGTGGAACGTTGCAGGATGTTTAGGGGATTCATCATCTTGGGCTGCCATTACAAAATACTACAGACTGGATGGCATGAACAACAGATTTATTTCTCACAGTCTAGAGCAAGCTTGTCCAACCATGCAGCCCAGGACAACTTTGAATGCCCAACACAAATTCGTAAACTTTCTTAAAACATTAGGAGATTTTTTTAAAGCTCATCTGCTATCATTAGTGTTAGTGTATTTTATTTGTGGCCCAAGTCAATTCTTCTTCTTTCACGGTGGCCCAGAGGAGCCAAAAGATTGGACACCCCTGGCCTAGAGGCTGGAAGTTCAAAATCAGCGTGCCAGCAAGGTCAGATTCTGGTGAGGACTCTCATCCTGGCCTGTAGACCAGTATTCTCCTGTGTCCTCACATGGGAGAGAGGGAGAGCAGGGTGGGAGGGAGGAGGGAGCAAACTACCTGTTATCTCTTCTTATAAGGACACTAATCTCATAATGAGGGCCCCATTATCATGCCTCATCTAAACCTCATCACTTCCCAAAGGTTCCATCTCCAAATAACCGTCACATTGAGAGTAAGGACTTCAACATATTAATTTGGTGGGGCAGGGAGATAAAATTCACTTCATAACATTTAGCATTTCTGGCCTTTGACACTAAATATGAGTAGCACCCCACAGTCATTGTGACAATAGAAATGCCTCCACCCTCACCAGTTTCTGAACCACACACTCAGATTGTTGTTTCTGTATTTAGCCAGTGGGTGTCAGTCAGAACTGTATGTCTTAATGCTGAGAGAAGTAATAGGGACCATCTTGCCCAGTCCCTCTGCCCTCTGCCCTCAGAAAGGGAGAGGGAGCTTAAGAGTGCAGTGTAAGCAAAGCAGTACACCTTCTGTTACATATGCAGCCTGTACTTAGCTTGGCTGTGTAGAATTGGTAACAAATGGACTACACACACTCTGACGTTATCATATATATTGTGGAATTAGGAGTTCAGATACAGCAGTGATTAAAGCTTGCTGATGTTTTCCCAAGAAGCTTCATAGATGGGTTAAAAATGAGCCACATTTTGAAAGATGAGTAGGAATAAGTGCAGTAAAGAGCCAAGAAAAACCCAGACTGGGAAATGCCACAGGCAAAAAGGTGAAAGTAGAATAAACATGGTCTAGATTGGGGCAGGAATAGGGAAGGTGATGGTGAGGAATGGGTGTGTGTGTAGTTGGTGTCTTTTCCTTTGAAAAGACTTGCTTACCCCTCTGGCCCCACCACTGCCAGCCCTAGGACCAAGCTGCAGGGCTCTCCTGTGAGCTGCTGGAGCCCCAAACAGTCTAGCAATGTGACTGTCTCTTTTGTTCTCTGGGCTGTGTCTTGGTTATCATTGGATCTCCAGCATCTGACACACGGTAAAGGGTTAGTAAATAATTATTTTTATTTATTTATTTTTGAAACAGGGTCTGACTTGGTTGCCTAAACTGGAATGCAGTGGTGCAATCATAGTTCACTGCAGTCTCAAACTTCTGGGCCCAAGCAATCCACCCACCTCAGCTTCCTAAATAGCTAGGACTTTATTAGCGCATGCCGCCGTGCCCAACTAAATTTTTTTTTTTTTTTTTGAGGCAGAGTCTCGCTCTGTCACCCAGGCTGGAGTGCAGTGGCGCAATCTCGGCTCACTGCACGCTCCGCCTCCCAGGTTCATGCCATTCTCCTGCCTCAGTCTCCCGAGTAGCTGAGACTACAGGCGCCCGCCACTATGCCCGGCTAATTTTTTGTATTTTTAGTAGAGATGGGGTTTCACTGTGTCAGCCAGGTTGGTCTTGATCTCCTGACCTCATGATCCGCCCGTCTCGGCCTCCCAAAGTGCTGGGATTACAAGCGTGAGCCACCGCACCTGGCCCAACTAATTAAAAAAAAAATTTTTTTTTGTAGAGAGATGTCTCACTTTGTTGCCTAGGCTGATCTCAAACGCCTGACTTCAAGTGATCCTCCTGTCTTGCCCTCCCAAAGTGCTGGGATTACAGGCATGAGCTGCTGCTCCCAGCCTTGATGTATTGAATGATTGTGTATGGATTATAAGTTGTGAATTGGGAAGATTGTAGGAAAGAAAGACTGGTCATTTCTTTAGAGAAAGATTTTACTTCTGATTTGTGTGTTCTTGAATGGGTTCCTAGGACTATTAAGATTTATTCATACAAAAATAGAAATGCTAGACTTAGGAAAAAGAAAATTTTATTTATTTGTTTGTTTGTTTATTTGACAGAGTTTTGCTCTGTCGCCCAGGCTGGAGTGCAGTGACACGATCTCGGCTCACTGCAACCTCTGCCTCCCAGGTTCAAGTGATTCTCCTGTCTCAGCCTCCCAAGTAGCTGGGATTACAGGTGCCCGCCACCATGTCCGGCTAATTTTTGTATTTTTAGTAGAGACGGGGTTTCACCATGTTGGCCAGGCTGGTCTTGAACTCCTGACCTCAAGTGATCCGCCTATCTTGGCCTCCCAAAGTGCTGGGATTACAGGCATGAGCCTCTGTGCCCAGCCAGAAAAAGAAAATTTTGTAGAGGTAGAACCTGAAGTGGTGATGTAATCTAAATTGTTTTTGTACACAAATCAGACCAAGAAAAATCATAAAAGTGAAAAGGCTTAAAGAAGAATGCTGAAAGGTTGGTCAGAGGAAAGCACAGTAGTTGGAGAAAATCCATTGTAAGCACTACTTAGGGCCTTCTTAGCATGAAAATATAGAGAGCACTTAGTTTTTCAAGGTACTTTTAACTTTTTTTGTGCAAAGCATTTTCTGAAATTAATGCAAAGACCTGATTCTGTCGTGTTTCTTGATCTTCTGTGCATGCGTACATTTTCTATTAACATATTACTTAGGATAGTGTAAAAACGAATGACAGTGGTAAGTCCTTTTAGTGATGTTGCCATGAAGTGCAAGCTTCTGATTGGAGAGAAATGCTTGGATCCTGGCCCTGTGTCCCTGTGGTACCAGTAGGTGCTTCATTACTTTCATTTGCTTTGGTTTTTAGTCAGTTCTGATTCATTCTTTATGTTCTGTTTTTCTAATCACAGAAATCAGAAGAAATTTACTAATTATAAAAAGCAGTATTGGGTCACTTAAGAAAAATGCTGTTTCATTTTCACTAAAATATATATTAATAAGTTGTGTATTTCTTAATACTTTTTAGGCGCTGTTTTGAATTTTTAGATTTGCTTTTACAAGAATGGCAGACACATTCACTAGAACGGTGAGCATCTGATTTGAAACCATTTTTCCCTCTGAATTGAATCTTGAGAGTGAATGCTTTGGTGAGTGGTCCAGCTGGCTTTCTGTAAGAATGGAGGAATATATGCATTTGTTTTCATGACTACGTCTGTTGTTTTACTGATGTTGGTCACATAATATTCGCAGACACTTTTAGTGAATTTCATTGGTTGAAATACTACTATGTCCGTGTGCATTTTGACAGCTGCAGAGCCAGTAGAAACTCTTACTGACTCTGGCCCTGCTGCTTGACATCCCCTTCAGTTCCTATGAGGTAACTGTTTAAAGTTGCTGTTAGTAGACGAGTTGTAGCTGTTAGGTCCTTCAAGGAATTTCATTCATTTGAAAGTTTTCTTTTTCTCCCTCTGTATTTGATGTAGACAGCCTATTCAATATTAAGGTCATTATCTCATAATTTCCTTAGAAACTAGTTCTGATATGAAAAACACAAGATTTTGTTTTTGGGGTTCATAAAAGATTGAGCTGTAAGTGCAAATTTTGAAAAATCAGCTTTTGTTTTTAAAAAAAATCCCACAAGAGAATAGAGTTATGAAAGTCTTTAGGTATGGGTGGGTTGGAGTGGAGCTAGGGTGTTGGGGCAGGGCTGAAAATTAAAGGATTGTAGGAGTGCTCTGCTTTGCCCAGCCACCTGGGAATTGACCAGCCTTGGCACAGAGACTCCCAGCTCCATGTTGCTATTTGGAAGTTATTTCTCCCACCTGGTTTCATCCGCATTAAACCATACATTTATGATTGTTACTGCTTTCTTTTCTAAATATCTAGACACATATCAGTATTAGCTGAAACAATAAAGAAGGGAATACATGATGCTGATTCCGAAGCAAGAATAGAAGCCAGAAAGTAAGTTTTTATTGTACCCCACTTTTTAAATTAACTTCTTCTGTATTTCACATGAATTATATGGATTGCCTTATTAAAAACTTGTTAAGTTACTTGAACATATTTGTTAACCATGAATTTTAAACATGACCCCCAATAGGCCATTTTGGAATATTTCTGTCTTTTTTAAATAACATCACTCAACCTTGTGAATAAACAGGACTGAGGGAGACAAAAGAATGCTCATTTTTACATTCATCACAAATTATCACATAGCTCTGGAAGGCACTTGTATACATGCTCAATGTATTCATTTATTCATTAAGCCATATTGTAATCCAAAGCTGCTTTAATGATTTACCATGAAAAATCGTGGCCACAGGGAATTCTCTTCCTGCAGTCACTTCTTTGCAAGCATCTGTGATTCCTTGGTGTGAATCATATTAAGGGGAGCTGAATTGACCTAATGCCTGGGATTATCACAGTGATAACTTGCTGTTTCTGTCTCACAAATGAGGTACTTTTGCCATTAGGACTGTTTCCTCCAATCATGTGGGCATGGCCTCTGTATTTGTTACCTCCTTGGAAATTTTTTTTTTTTTTGAGATGGAGTCTCACTTTGTCACCCAGGCTGGAGTGCAGTGACACAATCTCGACTCACTGCAAGCTCTGCCTCCTGGGTTCTCGCTATTCTCCTACCTCAGCCTCCCCAGTAGCTGGGACTACAGGTGCCCGCCACCACGCCTGGCTAAGTTTTTGTATTTTTATTAGAGTCATGGTTTCACCATGTTAGCCAGGATGATCTCAATCTCCTGACCTCATGATCTGCCCGCTTTGGCCTCCCAAAGTGCTAGGATTACAGGTGTGAGCCTCTGCGTCTGGCCTTGGAAATAATTTTTGCTACTGTGACTGTAAATACCAGAAGTTTGATATTAAGACATTCTCTCTTGGGCAGTGCATCGATAACTGCTGCCAATGTTGCATCTGTGGGTTTTTTTTTTAATTTACTCTCATAGTTGACCAACTCTCCTAATTGATACATGCTAAAATCTAATCTGCATCATTATGGTTTTGCTTAGCTGCAGTGATGCATCCTGATCTAGTACTTGTTGATCTTTGACTGCCTTCACAGTTAAATTATATTTCACTTGTTTCTGAGCTTATTATAACTATGAAGTGTTCGTGCCAATTTTTTCTTGGCTGGTTTCTACCAAAATAAGTGACATAATTAGTCATTGCTGAAAACTGTTAGGAATGGATTTGTTAATGATCTGTTTATGCTGTTTTTATCCTTGTATTGGACCCTTCCCATCCCCGGCCCATTTTTTTCTTGGTCTTTAGTCATAATGTGATACCGATTTCAAGTAGCTCAGAACATTTTAAAATTTTTCTTTTGTACATGTTACCTAAGGCAATTTTAAATACTTTATATCAAGAGATGTGTAATTGAATTTATAATAGCTGCCATTTTAATGAGCCTGTCCTGTGTTCTAGGTATAGTCCTAGATGTTTAGCTGCACCTTCCCTAAGATTCCCCAGTTTTGCAAGTTAGACTCTTTAATTCCCATGTTATAAATGAGGCTGACGTTGAGAGAGGGTAAGTGACTTGCCCATTGTCTAAAAGACAGTAAAATTGTGAGGCCGGGATTCGTACCAGGTCTCCTTTGTTCACCCTCTCCTCCTGCTACTATTAGCAGCTAAACTGAGGCTTCCAGTCCTTGAAAATCCTCTGTGGTGTACTCCAGAGTTCAGCGAAAGACCTGTGTGGATCCTTGGATTAGAACAGGATTTTGTGTGTTTCCTCTAGATGTTACTGGGGTTTCCACAGTCACTTCAGCAGAGAAGCAGAGCACTTATACCACACCTTGGAGTCCTCCTACCAGAAAGCCCTGCAGTCCCACCTGAAGAACTCAGACAGCATAGTGTCTCTGCCTCAGTCAGACCGCTCGTCTTCCAGCTCTCAAGAGAGTCTAAAGTAAGGGATTCATCTTTGCTTATCATTCTCGTGAGAATTTGTGTTTCAAAGTTTGTCGCATGAGAACACAAATTCTAGCTATGTTTTTACATGTGTGCTTGTTACAACACCCCCTTACTTCAGGTAGATCCTGGTGCAAAGTAAGATACCACCACGGAGTGGTAAGAAATAGGTTGCTTTGGTCTCTACCATACTATTTTTCAGTTAAATTTATATGGCAGTCCTAGAATACAGTTTTAGAGTAACATAAGTGAATTATGGAGTAGTGTGAACTATATACACCAGTGCTTCAGAGAGTCTTCTCAGACAATGTAAGTGTGAACCTGGAGACAAGTTTGGAAATGGAGGGCGTTCAAACTCCATGAATTAATATATTGTCATCTCTGCTCTGTGTTTGATTTCTGTCTGTAGTGACTATTTCACTCTCTGTGTTTGAAATAATTCTTCATCGTAATAATTTCCTGTTGTAGTTTGTATTTGTATTAATTCGGATAAAGTACGTGTAATAAATAGTATACATCTTTACTTTTAGTCGTCCGCTGTCTGCCAAAAGAAGTCCTACTGGAAGTACCACATCTAGAGGTGAGACTGACAGCCGCGGAGAAGGCCTGTGCTCGGCTCTGGTGGTCTGTACGTGCAGCTGCGAGAGGCTGCCCAGGCACGGGAGGCCGGCAGCCTGCTCTCAGTTCCTTCTTAGGCTTGAACATAGCCTGCTGTGCCCTGCTCTGACTCTCCGGCAGAGCTCCGCTTTGTCAGGGCCACTCACTGCTGAGGACAACATTGACGGGGTGACTTAGGAATGAAGCTCTGTGACCTTTTCTCCCCACCTCCCCTGCATGTTGACACTGCCACAAACTGCACCTCCTGTCTCTGATCCTTTGATGAGACAGTGAAGACATCTTGGTGGCATTTTGAGCAGCAGCAGCAGTGTGGTGGTGGTTGGTGGTGGGAGAGTGGCGTGTTCCAGAAGGAGGAGGGTGTCTAGGTAAGAGGGCGTGGCGCAGTTACGTCATTTCATGAGGAGACTCCATAGACGTGAGCATTTTTTCCTTATCTCACTTCTTCATAGCAAGCAGAAACATGGTCCGTTTCCTTGGGGTTTATAGTCTTCGATAACAAGAAAACAAATGTAATTGATACATTACAGTTGAGGTCACTTTTAGTTTCCTTCAGCATTGCCTGAACTCTCTTCTGGGACCAGGAAAAACTGTTGGTCAGTTTTTTATGCTCCAACATTTGTTAAAACGTGGTATTTGTTTTCAGGAAAGCAAAACAACATCAAACTTTAGCAGTGTATTTTCAAAATTCTATGTAGTCCTTATTCATATTTCCTCCTTTATCACTAAAGCTTCTACAGTTAGTACCAAATCTGTGTCAACGACTGGGTCCCTCCAGCGATCTCGAAGTGATATTGATGTGAATGCAGCAGCCAGTGCCAAATCCAAAGTCTCCTCATCTGCGGGCACGACGCCTTTCAGCTCTGCAGCGGCTTTGCCTCCAGGGTCATACGCATCCTTAGGTAACCACACCACTGTCACCCTTTCCCTCCTGCACTGCTCTGCGAGAGATGACTCTTACCTCTTAGCAAAATACAAAAACCCATGATTGAGGCAAGTCTCACTGTTGCAGGGCTACTGTTTAAGTAGCTTTGTGCGCTTGCTGCTGATCAGCCAGCTACCCTTGTTGAGTGTCCCTTTCTTTGGTGCATCATCCGTTTTAGTGATGAGTAAGTACACAGTACATGCGTGCTCGGAGGGTGGGTGGCACTGAGCACATCCTTTGCTCAACTCTTCCTCCTCCTCCGTGGCAAGCCCAGCCACCTCCCATATTGTCAAAGCTAAGTTTTTTCCACCTCTGACTCTGGTGGGAGCAGAGCCAGCAGGTTCAGTGAGGAATTCACCAAAGGTAGTGTAGTTAGGTATTTCTCAATTTGAGAATATAACCAGAGCTGGCAGGGATCATTGGATTGGGTTGTGGGGAATGGCAGGAGGAATCTGAAGGAATGTGATGAGCTCATGAATCAGCATAATCCTGTCTGTGCAAACGAGTGTTGTCCTTCCATGTATCACGTTGGGAGGAGCATGCCTTCTGAGGATTGCCCAAAAATGTTTTTAAAAAATTACTTTCAAAATTTTTACTATCTCACATAGTGACAAATCAGCTACTCATATTTTTCAGCAAATGCTTAACACATACTATGTGTCAGGCTAATTGTTTGTTTCGTTTTGTTTTTGTAAGAGCCAATTCATCCAAAGTCAGAATCTAAGGATTTAGCTGGATTGGTTCTAGTTTAGATTTTACGGAAATGAACAAAATTTAAACTTCCTGAAATATTGTGGTGGAGTTACTCATGTAACTTTCAAACAAATTCCGGAGTCAGTTCTAAAACTAATGTTCAGAAAACGTTTTCAACGTTGGAAGTACAGTGAACAAATAGCATTCAGAGAAGATTTTAGGGTCTGCCATTTATTAGCTCTGTGACCTGGAGCAGGCCGTGGAATCTGTAAGTCTATTTTCCATACCTGCAGATTACTTGTAATAATAGCCACCTAACTCATATATGAGGCAAAACAAAATTATATAAAGATTCTTTATAAACTATTGTCCTGTAAGGTGGAAGACAGTGTGATTGTGATAGGAACATTATTAATTTGAAAGATATGTGTTCTGGAACATCTGCTCAGTCAGTCTTGTTTTTATGGAAATACCTCATACACACATGACAATTGAGAAGAAACAATGTCATTAAGAACTCTCTTTTTTGAATGGTTTTAACTATTCCAACATTATGTTATGTAACCATTGAGAAAAGAAAGGAGAAGTAACAACTCTTCCCTCCTACGCTGAATTAGTTCTGTTAATTTTAGTTTAGTTTTTCAGTACTTACCTATGCTTTAGTATATTAGATCCACCTTTAGTATTTGTAATTAGTGTTTGTTTCATTGCTGGAAAAAGTGAGTAAAAATCAGCCATTAAAATACTCAGTGTTTTTGTTTTTCTGTCTGTATTTGGAGTGTTTGAATATGACTGGTATAGACTTCCCCCAGTGCTAGTAAAAGCCCTCACATCTTTTGGTATGATAATATGGAACTGACCCTTCAGAAGCACTGATGGTAAGTTTTCAGTCAAGTATTAACCTCTTCAAAGAACGAGACTGGAGTATTCAAATTCTCTGTTTCCTGAGAATTCTACCTCAATTTCCCTTATTTTGTCCCCAAACGAAAACACCAAAAAATTGAAATATAACACAATCCTACTGAGAATTTGTTACAGTTGCTACTTGGGTTGACACATGACATCTTTGCAAAAGTGTAGCATTAAAGCTGATGATCCTTTTCCAAACTTCTAGAGTCCAGACACATGAGGGAAGACATGGAGTACATAGGCCTGGACTCAGGTACCATGCTCGACAGCTTTCGCTGCTGGACGTGTAGTTGGGATAGGCATTGCTAGAGCAAGCTTCTCTGAGCTTCTTACTTGGCTCTGCCCTTTGGGTAACTCTTCAGTATTTTATCTTCTAGTTCCTCCTCTCTGCCCTGTTCTGCTGGTACTTTCTTCCAAGAAAAAGGAACTCTTAAGAGGATTAAAGTTGGCTAAAACAAAAAACAATCTTTCTTTCAACTGTGGCACTACCCTGGGTTGCCCTTCTATGTTTTATTTTCCAAAGGCAAAAAAACCATTATGCTATGTCAAGCTAATTTCAATACAAGGCACACTTACTTGCTTCAGACTCTGCTTTGCTGTTGAACTTGTTTCCCTTTTAATTTTGTTTTAAATTGTACTTTTGCTTTTTTAGTAGCTAATAACATTTGGCTTTTTAATTTTTTGAATGTTACTAACTGTTCCCTGTTATCCCTTCCCTTGTTTTTTAATTTGCTTAAAGATGGTACTACCACTAAAGCGGAGGGTAAGCGGTTTGTTTCTGTGATTGAGGTGTGTCTCACTTTCTCTGGTCCTCTGTTCTCACCGAGTGTTGCCCAGTACCCACTTGTCCTCACCAAGGTCCCTGCATGAGATGTTGCACGCTGTCCCTCCTCCTCTCTTTTCATTCTGTCTCCATTGGGTTTTTGCCCTACCTCTACCTAAGTTCTCCTTCCCTTTCCTGTTCAGTCTTTGTTCTTGTGAATTTTAGCACTAAAGTATGCTGTGCGTGGTTTTTCATGCTGAGTCCACACTCTGGGGAGGAGCGTCGATGTCACACTGTGTGCTGCTGTCCTCATGGACTGCCTGTCTTGGGTTTTATTACTCCTGAAGCACTACCTTAGCTTTTGTTTCCTTTTCTTTCCTTTTGTGCTTTTGTGGGCCTCTCAGGATTTGCCTTTCCTGTTTTGAAAGTAAATTTCAATGTCAATTATTCAGACTAAAGGCTGGTAAACGTTTTCTAACAGGTAATTTAAAGAAATTTAAAAAAAAATTTTTTTTCTCTCCTCTAAAGGTACTACTGACTTACATGATGCTATTTTTTATTTGTCTCATGGACACACGCCCCATTCATTTATTTACTCTCATTCATCCCCTCATCAACCATGTATTAAATGCCTTCCATGTGCCGTGTTTTGTATTATACACCAAGGATATAACAATGCTGAAAGAAATAGGCATATCCAAATCCACTTTATTTTCTTTTTTATGCCATTCTCAAGAAGCTCTTCCTATTTTTGCATTACCTTTAGAATTTTAGACATAGTTTTTTTAGTCTCTGCAGGTTTTTGATAAGTGCATGTAAGACAATATTATTCCTTTGCTAGATAGAACGCGTGATAATGCTTTAAGTAATTGAAATTTAGAGGAACAGTCTCTGCCTAAATAGAGGCTTAGACCCACCAACCTTCAGGATAATTACTTAACAATTAGGCAGAGCTAGTTCATTTTCGTATATTATTTAGTCGCCCCAAAGGGCTAGCAGGCAAAGTTGGCTGGGTTTAGCTTGATGTGTGCAGCTCAGTTCCTTTAATCCATGTGTTACTTTCTAAGGACTCATAAAGGAAAGAGAGGAATGGATTTTTTTTTTTTTTAAGGTGAACATGGTCCCAAGATCAGTCTTTCTTAAATGTATCACATCGTGAGAATTACTTGGATACTTACTAAAATAAATACTCTTAGCTCCTTCCCCCTGAAGATGCTGATTAAGTTTGGAAGGAACCAGAGAATCTGAATTTCTACTCAGCCTCATTGGTGGTTCTTAGGGTTGGACAAGTTTGTAAAACAAAAAATTTCCAGAATTAAATAAAGACAAGAAACCTCTGTGCTGATGAGCACGTCATGTCTGACAGCAGAAGGCAGAGGCTGGTGTGATTGAAAAGCTGGTTGATAATTTTCTTCATTTCTTAAGCTGATATGGGTAATTTTATGTGTCTCCTCCCCAAAGAAACAGTCCTGAGTGTTTTCTCAGCCTTGCCGGGAGGGGAGTAGGAGAGTGGAAGAGAATAATGTAGATGAAATGGAAAGCAAAGACACTACATGGGAAATTATATGTTTTTCCAGAATGTCCTGATTTCCATGCCTATGTAACAGAATTGAAATCAGCCTGTTGTTCCACCCAGCCCTAGAAGTTTTTAACCTTTTTTTTTTTTTTTTCCCCATCAGTTCCACAGTCCTGAGTAAGGTCAGAATTGCCGCCTCAGTTATTGTACAGGAGACTAACTCTCTGGTTTTCCTTCTGCTGGGAGAAATTGCTTTTCTAGAGAGCTCAGACTCCAACAATAGAGACCTTTGCTGGAGAAGCACAGAGAGTGTCAGTGTTTGTGTACTGGGGCTGCACAGGCTGTGCCAACACCTGGCTAGTCAAGGCCTAGAGAGACCCGTGAGTCTGAACACTTCTAGGTTGTCATTGTTCTGTTGGTTTCAGCAGTGAGACTGAGAGAGCCTGTTCTGTTTAGAAACGCCACAGTGGTTTTTTAGGTAAGGTCTGCAGGAAATGTCACTTGGTCCCTTTTCAATATGAGTTTTCCACCTGCATTTTTGGAACCATTATGGGCCTTTTAAAAATTTATTAATAAGTCTCTTAAATATTTCATAATCTAGCTTATGAGACAAGATGATTTTAAAACAGTTGTATGCTCTAAATTAAAAACTTACAGGGTGGGTGCAGTGGCTCACCCCTGTAATCCCAGCAGTTTGGGAGGCCAAGCAGGTGGATCACCTGAGGTCAGGAGTTCGAGACCAGCTTGACCAACATGGTGAAACCCGGTCTCTACTAAGAATACAAAAATTAGCCAGATGTGGTGGCATGCGCCTCTAGTCCCAGCTACTCAAAAGGCTGAAACAGGCCAGGCACAGTGGCTCATGCCTGTAATCCCAGCACTTTGGGAGGCCGAGGTGGGTGGATCACAAGGTCAGGAGATCGAGACCATGCTGACTAACACGGTGAAACCCCGTCTCTACTAAAAATACAAAAAATAAGCTGGGCATGGTGGTGGGCGCCTGTAGTCCCAGCTACTAGGGAGGCTGAGGCAGGAGAATGACGTGAACCCTGGAGGCGGGCCTTGCAGTGAGACGGGATCGTGCCACTGCACTCCAGCCTGGGAGACGGAGCCAGACTCTGTCTCAAAACAAAACAAAACAAAAGGCTGAAACAGGAGAATTGCTTGAACTCAGGAGGCAGAAGTTGCAGTGAGTGGAGATCATGCCACCGCATTCCAGCCTGGGCAACGGAGCAAGACTCCGTCTCAAAAAAAAGAAAGAAATTTAGGCAGTACATTTGAGTTTATTGGCAATTTTATTACTATAGTAATTGAGAAAAATATATGTTCCTTAGGAGCTATTCATTGTCTACATCAAGGAATCCTAACACGGCTAATTAGAAAAATACTTTTTGTAAAGAACAAAAAACTCAACTTCTGGATGAAAGTTTATTTTTAGGTTATTGTCTTCAGTATATTATGTTCAGTAATTTTGGAGATTTTGATGAGGGAAACATAATGTCTTTTATGTTGCACATGAGGAAGTTTATGATTAGATTGTCATATGGTAAATGAATGCATTCTCATACTTTTTAAAAAAGCTATTATGCGTAGGAAAAGCATTCATATTTTTCCCCAAATAAGTAACTTTAAATGAAAAGTTACAGTGCTTGGAATGGCCTGTGGGACTGACAACCATTGTTTGTTTTGGGGAATAATCATGTTTATTAAAATGTTGTCAAAAGCCGTATCAACTTAACTTTCGGTGTTTTTAATTAAGATTACACAATAAAAACCATATAGCCTTGTCTTCAGGAAAAAGAACTTAGATTTTAGTACAGTTTTACAGGGAAATAAAATGTAAAAAATTATCCAAGAACTGTAAATTTTAGGTAATTGGTCTTTTTATACAATGGGAAAAGTACGCATGTCTATATATTGAAGTAAAAGGGTGTTAAGCCTCTTTAAAATTTTTAAAATATGAAGGAATTTTTTTTTTTTTTAAGGCAGGGTCTCATCTGTCACCCAGGCTCTGGAGTGCAGTGGTGCTATCACAGTTCACTGCACCCTTGACCTGCCAGGCTCAAGTGATCCTCCTGCCTCAGCTCCCTACCCTGCCCGTCAGAGGTGGGGAGCTGGGACTGCAGGCATGCACCACCATACCTGCCTGGCTAATTTTTTAATTCTTTTGTACAGATGGGGTCTCCCTATGTTGCCTAGTCTGGTCTTAAACTCCTGGGCTCAAGTCATCCTCCTACCTCAACCTCCCAAAGTGCTGGGATTACAGGTGTAAGCCACCATGCCTGGCAGGAAATTATTCTTTTGGGGAGAATAGTCATAGGTAGCGAATTTAGAAATGATCGAGTTCCTCGGTTTTGGTTCTATGAAAGATGTCAGTGTATGAGTAAAGGCTGGTTTAATTATGCCCCCAAGCAGTGAAATGTGCAACAGATAGGTATGCCAACACGTCCCAGTGTGATGAGAACGGAGACTTACTTTGAAGACCTTTTAATTTTATAATCTGTAATCTGGGAATTTGCTGAAACATTTGAAACACGCAGGGAACAGAAAAACCCTGGTGACATGAGGCTATTTAGTGGTTTTTCATTTGCCTAACAAGGAAATAGGGAAACCAGGCCCACAAACTACACTTGGTACACAGGCTGAATTTCTCCTGGTTTGGAGTCTTTTCTAGAAGGAATGGCAATGTGAGTGAAAAAGAATCCTTAGGAGCAGTATTTAAAAGTCATGAGATGAGTGATCTTTCTTTATTCCATGAAAGTTGAAGGCTTTGGGAGCTGCTGTGGCTCAGGCGGGTTGCCCTGGGACTCGAGGAGGCGAGGCTACACGTTCGAGGCCAACCTGGTCAACACTGATTTAAAAAAAAAGAAAAAGAAAGTCGAAGGCTTTGCGCTCCTCTTACAAGTCTTTGTTTTCCTCTGAGTCTGGCTTTGCTCTGGTTAGGTTTGTTTATTGTTGTGTATCTTGTTCATCCCTCCCTCCAAAATTCTTTTTGCCATACAGTTCTTTACCTCTTTTTTTTTTTTCTGTTACTTGTGCTGACTTTTTTTCTTCCTTCACATCTATCTGCTTGTCTCTGTTACTTAATAGATCATAATACAGAACTGAAGTATATTTTTACTGTTTGTTGCTTTATTTTTATTTATTTATCTGTATTTTGAGATAGGGTGTCACTCTGTCACCTAAGTTAGAGTACAATGTCATGATCATGGCTCACTGCAGCCTCGACTTCCCAGCCTCAAGTGATCCTCCCACCTCAGCCTTCCAAGTTGCTGGGACTACAGGTGTGCAACACCATGCCTTGCTAATTTTTTGTATTTTTTTGTAGAGATAGGATTTCACCATGTTGCCCAGGCTGGTCTCGAACTCCTGGAATCAAGTGACCCTCCCTCCTTGGCCTCCCAAAGTGCTGGAATTGCAGGCGTGAGCCACTGCGCCCAGCCTGCTTGTTTCATTTATTGAAACTTTTTTCCCCTAATTACCA